GACAAACAATAAAATCACATACATTATAGACATAGCCATTCCAAACACTCACAATGTACAAAACACATGCACTGAAAAAATTAGCAAGTACACAGAACTTGCCCAGGAAATAAGGCATCTGTGGAGGATGGATAGGGTAGTTATTGTACCTGTTATTCTCCTGTACAGGTGTGATACCACACACACTACACAAAAGCCTGGGAAACATTACAATTGAATAGAAATACATACATCACACTACAGAAGGCCACTATATTGAATACATGCCACATTGTTAGGAAATTTCTGAATACATACACTGACACACTTAATTTTAGTTTTGTTTTGGTTGCTATGCCTTGACTCTGGTCTGGCATAGTACACAGCCACCGGTGTAAACTGAGTATAATCCACTAAACACAATAATAATAATGCTCACTTGATTTGCTATGTACGGTTTATAGATAGTAATAGCATTGTAGAAGATTTTTTCTTTCGTAAAAGTATCACTGCTGATGCTAAGGCTTGTTAGATTTGTTAGACAACCTTAGTACTTTTATATTTGAAAATAATTTGGAGTGGACCAAATGTGTTGGTATCTGTACTGATGGTGCTTGTTGTATGTCTGGCTGTTATGGAGGATTGCAAGCATTTATTCGAAGCAAAGCCACTGATGCACTGTGAATCCATTGCATTATTCACAGGGAAGCACTCACATCAAAATATCTGAGTCCTACTTTGAACCAGGCCTTAGAATATGTAATGAATGTAGTAAACTTTATAAAAACTTGGCCGTTGAAGGCAAGCTTTTTCAAAAAACTATGTGAAGATATGGGATCAAGCACACGTTGTACTAAAGCACTTACGATTGCTCTCTTGTAGTAACATTTGTGTCATACTTTTGAACTGCGGCAGAAAATTTATATTTTTCTTAAAGAGGAAGACCACAAGTATGCTGAAAGTTTTGTAAATGAAGAGTTTTTGGTAAATCTAGCATAAGTATGTGATATTTTTGAAAAGTTGAATGCATTGAATCTCTCCTGCAGGGAAACAACATGCACCTATTAAAGTCAATTGAGAAAATTTCAGCTTTCATAAAAAAGTTAAAACTATGGAAAAGAAAAATAAATGAAGATGGAGGAAAAGAATGTCTCCCCTTGTTGTAACAGTTTTTGACCTCCAATGGAGTTGATTTCTTTCAAGGTATGAAATCCATTTTTGAAGAACATTTATCACAGCTTATCACCGGATTTCAGAAATATTTTCAAAATTATGATAATGATAAATTTGCATGGATTCAAGATCCATTTAATGCCAGTGCTTTATCTGAATTTACTGCTGCAGAAGAGAGAATCTTATTGAGTTGTCTTGTTGAAAACAAAATTTAGCAGCATGGAATTAACTGAATTTTGGATATGCTCAGAGAATTTTAATTTTATTTGTGGCTTCTTACTTGTGCAAAGTTGGGTTTTCAGCTGTCGCTGTGATAAAAACTAAGTATCACACAAAAATCAATGTGGAGAAGGAATGAGGGGGGCTGTGTCCAGTTTGGTTCCAAGAATTGAGAAAATATGTTGTGATCAACAGGTTTTTTATCCCACTAATTATAATTAGTTGAATTTGTTTGATTACATGTTTTTTTTATCTTAAATACATGTTTTATTTTTTACTTAACATCCTAATTCTTTAATTAAAAAAATTATTGGGTATTTTGCAAATTTTACTTGTTAGAATTTGACATAGGGTACCATTAGAAAACCTGGAGTTAGCATGGATGCCAAGAATCAAAAAAGTTTGGGAACCACTGGCTTAAGATGTTCTAATGTTCAGTCAAATTAATGTACAGTACAGTAGACCCCCTATAAGGCTTAGATACGTTCCACGCTAACCGAAAATTACGTTGTAGGAATGATTAAATACATGAGCCAATCGCAGCCCGATAGGTGGGAACTTTACGGACTAAGGCTGTTCGAAAGGTTTTCTTCGATAAAATTAACCGATTCTAGACTAATTCGACTCAACATTTCCAAAATATGTATAATTTTTTGGGAATAATCTGTATAAACTATGCTATAAACAAAAAATTATAGGATTACTTACCGAGTGTGTACCGTTCGACTACGCTGTTGCTTAAAGCTGGTTTTCATCGCGGAACAGCACACGAAACGACGGCCGCAATTTCTGATAACGAATTTTTCGCATAAAAATAACTTGACCTTTGGAGACATCATTAATATAAATAATTTTTATGGACGTTGAATAAGAAGTGTTTCTTTCACAAGAAATGTATAAAATTAGTGCTGTATTAGACTTACGGTACCTAATTTACATACTGTACAGACGATAATAAACTCAACTTACTAGCCTAAAATCTCCGTAGCGTGTTGCCAGGCGGCAGAAAGCATATATATAATTATAATAAAGTTACAATAAATTAAGTTAATATATAATTATATATACAGTACCTAATTTATATATAATACTAAACAGACGATAGCAAACTCAATTTAGCCGCTCCGTAGCGTGGCGCAGGGTCGGAGGAAAGTAGTTCGGCTGCTCATCCACTATTGGTCCAGACTCTATCAATCTTGTTGCGAAACGACGTTATAGGAGGTACGTTATACGAAAGTTGCTACAATTTTTTCGCTACGTTATAGGAACGTACGTTATAGAGGGGTCGACTGTACATGCAATTATTTTAAGACACAAAGTAGAGCTGGAAGTCTTTTTCTATGCTAATGTTTATATTCCTATTATCATGGCAACATTGCTTTATTCAAAATTTCCTTTAGTTGTCTGTGTAATGTGCACTCTATACACATGTTGAGTTTTATTCTCAAATCTGCTTCCAAGTATGCTTATGCCACAACTTTCAAAAGTTTTCTTAGATGATTTTGTTGAGGCTTGTTTTTTCATCTTGGTTTCACCAGTTTTTTTAATGGGATCACATAAAAGCAATTATTCTTCATTTTTATAAGATTGTTTTTATTTAAACAAGTTTTATATCAAGTATATTACTTCACAAGAATGTCCATTTTGGACGTTCTTGTGAACTAGGACTTGTTATACCGAGGGAAGAGAAACACACCATTTTCAATTAAGATATATTTATTACAAAATATGACCTACTTGAACCTATAACCAGTGCATACAGAGTTTAATCTTCCAAGATATCATTACAATAAATATATCATAAGACAGCAACTGGTGTGTGGTTGCTGTTTTATGATATATTTATTGTAATATAATCTTGTATGCCTCTACATTGAGCATTTTGGGCCAACACCCATTCATAGCAAATGTTACATCTGCTAAGGAGAGGCTTTTTTTTATATATATACAAGTTTATGCATTAATGTATCCATATATTTCTTTCAACATTTTTGGAATAGATTTCTAAACCTCAATTTATTAAATTCTTCCAATAAAATTTTCTTGAAAATGTATCTATTCATTTAAACATCACTTATTCATGAAACGGGTTACCAATGCCGAATTGGTAACCTGTTTCATGAATAAGCGATTTAATGATTGCTTTTAATTTACCAAATCATAGATGCTGTTTTCAACTGGGACCTACTGATGTAAGCAACAACAAATTTGGGGCAAAGCTGTCAGTTTTTTAAATAGAGATTAATCTTGAATGGAGGGTGTGGAGTTTTTGTCCTTTTAACAAACTCCCAAAATAAAAAAAGAAAAAAAAATGCAAAATATAACAGCTCCAGAACATAAATTAATGTTTGGTCTTAATTTCTCTTAAGCTGTCTTATGGAAATTATAATTTAAGGTTGTACACTTGCAGACCATGGTGTCTTTACATTATGCATAGCTGACAAATATCTATGATAACATCCATGACATTATATCTACTTCTTGTGCAAGGGTGATTGTGAGAGATCTGCACAATGTCATTTTTTATGACATTGGATTATTGAAGATGATGTAGCAGTGGAAAATTGCCATTTTATGATCATGTGACAATAAAGAAAAATTGTTTGGAATTCCATATGTAAGGCAATTTTTTTCTGAGGGCTTATAATAAGTGAAAAACTTTTTTGCAAAATTTTTACACATGTAGCATGAGGATATTATAGAAACAGCTAAGTAAGTCAATTTGGTAGAAAAAGCTTATGAAAACTAATCATTAATTTTTGTCTGTTTTTTTATTATCTTGGGGTTTGCTTGTTATCTGGAGGTGGGCATCTGTAGTCTTTAAGTGACTTTACATATACAGTAGAGTGGCGTATATCCAAAAGTCAGTTATCTGAAAGAATTCCAGTCGGCAAATTTAAGTTTTTGCTAGTGCTGTGGCACTGCAATCTTTGGCTATATCTTGGGCTACTCCAATATTTTTTATGTTTGTGCATGTGTTTTAGCTGGCAGCACTATCACTTTTGTGTGGTGTTTTTCTGAGGACTGTGTGTCTTTTTGATACTAGATAACTTCTAAAGTATAAATTTTTTTTTTAAATATTTTTCAATATATTTATTTTTGGTTGTAAAAAATAAAGAAATAATTTTTAACGATACAATAGCCACAATTATTATTTTAAAAAGTTTACATTAGGCTTAACATTGACGAAAATTCAACGCGAAGCGACACGCAATGGAGAAAAATTTCAACACGGGATAGGTTAATGTATTTTTTCGTACATAATCGGTTATCCGAACAACCCCAGTTTTCAATTGATTCGGATAAATGACGCTCTACTGTATATCAATGGTAAATAAATAAAATTAGTTATTATGTGTGACTGCAGGTTAAAGTAGGTATTCAGAGCTTTCTGTAAAAAGAACTATTGGCAAGTTTTACCTACTATTTAATTATGATTATCTTGCATATTACTTATTTGTCTCCACACACTGGAATGTAATAAAAATAACTCTTACTTTTAACCTTGTAACTGGAGGGTTGTGTTCTTGCATATTACTTAATATATTTGTAATTAATCTCTCTTACTGTCTTTGTATCTGTGTGTTTTTATAAAATTGTATGTTAACAGTTTATTTTTATACTTACAGTTACAATACGTGAAACCAAATTATTTTGTACATCTAGGAATATAGCTTCTCTGTAACTTTGAGGTAAGTGTATGTATGTATGTATATGTATGTGTGTGTGTATATATATATATATGTATGTGTATATATATATATAATTTTTACTTGATTATTTTGATAATTATTACAATATAATTATTTCTCTGTTTTATAAATTTTTATTTTTCAGTATTTCAGTTTATTTTCAGTTTCAAAGTTAGTCAATATTTTTGTTCTTGATTAAAGAACAGTTACAGTAGAGCATCGATTATCCGACTCAATTGGGGACTGGGGTTGGTCGGATGACTGAAAAAATGGATAACCAAAAAGTATGAAAAAATACATTATTAGTATAGTATATTAGTATATCCCATGTAATTAGTGTATTAGTATATGGCTATTAACCTACTTTGCATTGAATTTTCATTGATGTTAAGCCTAACAAAATTTTTTAAAAAATAATAATCATCACTATTGTATTGTTAAAAATTAGAAAATTAAGCCTCGTTTAGATGCTGGCTCCCTTTCATGGTCGAGCTAATGTTGCCAGCTAAAACACGTAAAAATACTATTAAAGTAGCCAAGACATAGCCAAATATTGTAGTGCCACATCACTAGCGGACATTTGAATTTGCCAACTAGAACACGGTTGGTTAACCGATGTGGCGGTTGATTGGGGTTGGATAATCGATGCTCTACTGTATTTACAAAAATTATGAATGGTAATACTCTGACAAGTAAGAAATTGTGTAATAAAATTCTGTTATGCTGAAATGGTTTAGGGCTAGTCTTATATTGGCTAGTGATTTACTATCAAAATTCTTGTCTCATCAAGTAACACTCAGAGTTAAAAATGTACAACAAAACTAATAACAAACAAGCAATTATTTATTGTGATATTGTCACAATGCTGGGCTGCAATTTTTAATTTATTTAATTTAAAATATATTATTTCCATTTCAAATTAGAAGTGGCTTGCCCCTGTACATCATACTTTTCCTTCTACAAGAGAGTCGTGCCAGTCATCTGTCTAACTCCTTTTGGGGGAAAATTTTTGAATTGAAATAATGTGACTTCCAGTTTGCATTGGAAGTTCGTATATAATTATTTGGGGCCTCCTGCCCATAAGATTTCCATATCTGGTCTCAAAATTAAGCCTCATTTAAACACTGGCCTCCCTTTTGTGGTCGAGCCAGTGCTTCCCGCTAAAACACGCAAAAATTTAACAAAAATAATATTAAAGTAGCTTTCTTTCATCTATCTAACTCCATTCTAAGAATAGAGTTAGATAGATGTATAGGTGTATGCTTTCATCTATTTAACTCCATTATTGGAATAGAGTTAGATAGATGAAGATTAGAAATTATGATGGATGGATGGACAACAGTGAGAATTTATAGGTCTACAATTTTTTCAAATTGCAGCCCAATAAAAGATATGCACAGTTCTAAAATATATATATACACAATTAAAATATGTACTGCACATTACATACTTTTTAATTATATATGTGAAAACAAGATTTTTCTGACCCTACTTCTATGATACTAAATGGGAGATGGGGTCAGTTTCAGCCTAATCCCACTCACTATCAGGATGATAAATTGAATAATGATTTTGGGAAAGATCTGTAAAATCTTTCCTTTTTTGTCAGGGTACTGACACCACTTACTTAAATATGCAAACTAAGATGTAAGTTTTGCCTTATCTTCTGAGTGGATGAAAATTTAAATGATCCTGTAACTGGAATTTAAGAGAGTTTCTTTTAAGTATTATGTATTGTGTTAATGTGGACCAACAATGGAGTTAGGCACTACTTAGATAGTTTAGAATATTAAACTATATTTATTATATGAGGTTATGATAATGAATGAATATGTGAACGAATAACTAAATTAACAGTAAGATAAAGGCAACAAACTAATTGAATAAGGATATCAATCTACAATTTACTGAGAGAGTTTACATGTACAAATTATCATATTACCTTGAGTATCCTGTAGTGTGAAAATTGAAATTGACTGTTGCTTCCATTGGTTGGAGAGAACCTTTTTGTGAAAACCAGGTGCATAATGAAACAAGAACAACTATTTATTCTGTTGACTGCTCAGTAAGAGTGCCAAACCAGGAATATGGCTAACATAAGCTAATGTTAGGTTAACACCGATGGCTAGGAATGATGGCTAAAGCACAGCTAGGAGCACTGCTAAGAGCGATGTCTAGAGCATGTCTAAAGGTGATCTTTGCATTTTATATGAAGTTGACATCCAATCAGAACATTGAGATGTCATGCCATACAGTGGTTCACTGCTCTGAAAGTATCATTTTGGGAAGAACTAAATCATTTCTTTTCATGAATTGGAGGAAGTTAATACTTGATAATTTTTTTATGAACTTAAATTGAAATAATAATTAAAATATTCATTTAACAAATATACTAAAATTTCTCCCTTCAACTCCAGGTTCTTGCATATATGTGTGTTTATATATACACATATATGTCTTTTTTGCAAATGCATTTAAAAGTTGTAAAATTCAAGTGAAAATGCATTGTCAAGTTCATTTCTTGAGTGAGCATCACAAATAAAAAGACATGCTTAGTTGATGCCCTTGAATGTAGTACATGGAGCATGAAGACCCACTCCTTGCAGTGGTAAAAAAACTGGTTTAAAAAATTCATAATAGACTAGCTGTAACCCACGACTTTGCCCATGCAGATTTTGCCAGCAAACACCATTTATATTCAGTATTTCAACAACCATAGTAATTGTTATATAACACCTAACGCTGAAAATGATGAGAATTGCTGAGAATCGAACTGTTTTCAATTTGATCAATTTTCTGGAACATTTACAATCGTTTTATAATCAAACCAATATGCAATACCAAATTTGAATTTAAAACGGTTTGAACATTTGGTTAAAACATCGAAATATATATAAAAATATTTATAACAATCCGTTCCTGATGTTTGGACTTACACCGAATTGGACGCATACCGAACCAACCTTTCCCATAAGAAGTAATGTAAAAATGATTAATTCGTTCTTGTGTAAAAAAAAATGGCTGGCTTTAAACACCTCGCTTTCCTGGCTAGTTCTTGCTTGATTTTTCACGAGATCAGCATGTATCTTTTTAGCTTTCTCGCAAATAATTGCTTCCAATACAATGTCACCAGCACACGTTTTTCAGTTATCCAAAGCAAAAGAAATTTCTCGACATGATCTAATGTCTTCGATATCTGTTTAGAAATTGATTTAACCCCTTTTGCAACGTTAGCAGATTTAATAATGTCTTTATTTTTTACGATTGTCGATATCGTCATTCTCGGAATACAGTATGCAACAGTTAAAATCTCGAACACGCGTGCCACCTTCATATTTCTCAACAATCTTTTTTTTTCAGTTTCATTGTGATTCTAATCATTTTTTTAGTTTTATGTTGCTTTTCATTTGCCTTTTTGCGATTCATGACTCATAAAAATAATAAAATTTTACATACAAATTAAAACCAGAAGAAATTTAACCAAGTTATAAACCGTTGCACCGCAAACGTCTAGTCTGGTCTAGTACACCGATAGTGCTACTTGTTCATAGATGGCGCGTATAATTGAATTAAGTCGTATACCTAGCAAAATTTATTTCATCCAAACAGGATGTATTCCAAATTGGACGTATTCTAAAGCAGACGTATACCGAGGTACCACTGTATATAATTATACACTTACAAAAAATAAGATAATAGATAACATAGTAGCAGAGTATAACATTAAATCGTAAGACCTAAAATAATATACAGTATAGTACATGCATATTGTGCTGATAATGCTGTAAGTGAATATGTAACGAAAGACGAGCACAGATTAATTAATTAATTAAATATACAATACATAATAAGAGGTAGATATTTTACAATACAAATTACAGGTAATCAATATATGTATATAATAAAGAACACATGCATAATAAAGTAAAGATGAAAATTCTCACACAATGAGATACAATGCCACACTGAGCAGGAAAACATGTGGGTTGCTCTTTGTTTTTGCAAAATTAGCAGTGAGGTTGCATGGGCACACCAATGAAAACCGAGACAAATTTTTCATGAAAACTTCGACGAAAACCAAAATCAGCGATAACTGAAGTCAGCAAAAATTAAGGTATTACTGTAATTTGTGAGAGCAATGTTTTGTCTTGAAATTCTTTGGTAATGTTGACTCGGTTATACCCAGATGCTCTGCCATACTGGTTTTACTTTTTTTGACATCTAACCTTCTGTGTTCTTCTGAATCACTTCCAGGGTACAAGCATTTTTTTCTCTCTGATTTTTGCTTATAATTTCTAACTATTATGTTTGCACTAAAATTTGACAAAAAAAAAAATTTTTTTTACTAATTCACACTTACAGTAGTCATGTTCAAGTCTACAAAATCTTTTTTTGTGTTTATACATTTACTAATTCAAATATTCAGTTTTCTGTTATTTTATGAGCTACTTGGGGACAAGAGAACAAATCCATACTCTTGCCCCAGTACTCTTCTCCACCAGGGAACTTATCATGTTACACTAAGTTAATGGCATTGTGTTTTTTTGCAGTACATGAGTAGCATTAGTAATAACTGAAAGAACATACCATATGTTTAAACAATTGTTTTATATACATACATATTTAAGGCAGAATCCTGAATTCTATACATAGAAAAATAAAATTAGGGCATAGAAAAACCATTTATTTCAAATAACAAACCAACCTTAACCTCTGTGATGGCGCAATCACATTCAGTAGATGACTACCATTAGCTTTGTCAAGTGATAGGTTCAGTGTTGCCAACAACTTTTAAAACAAGACAAAAAGTGCAGTTTGTACTCTTAACCCACATTCTTTTATTATTTGAGGAGATATGGATGTCATTGAATAAATATGCAAATTTTGTTTTTGAGTTGATTTCAAGGAAGAAATTGAAAATTGATGAAAATTATTTTTCATAAAAAAATTAACTATTTTTTTTATGAAAAATAATTTTATATTTTTATTAAAAG